ACGCCATGGTTATTGAAGCCATTATAGGAAACGTCCACGTGAGCCGAGTATACATCGATAACGCCAGCACAGTCGACATCATCTACAGCGACTGTTCCAAGAAGATGTACATACAAAATCCTGATTGGCGTCCGGCAACATTACCACTAATGGGCTTCTCTGGACACACGATTATCTCCAGCGGAATTGTAAGGCTTCCAATCACGGTAGAGTCGCATCCTCGAATGGTAACCTTAACCATGGATTTCGCCATAATTGATGCACCCTCGCCGTTTAACGTGAATTCAGGACGGCATGGATGTGCCAAGCTCGCGCTGTTTGGTCCCCTTACAACTTGGTAATGAAATTCCCAACGGAGTAAGGGATAGGGATAGTATAAGGTTCCAACGCAATTCTCGGGAATGCCTCCTCACGGCAGTGAAAACAGGGAAAAAGGCAGTGAAATCTGGAGTTGATGTTACTCAATTCAGCAAGGGATGCCATCAGTCAAGGATGTAAGGGAGGAACAAGCCATGGATCTCAACCACCCTCATCAACCGCCACTCAGTAGTAAAACGGGGGAGTTGGTCTTGGACGAAAAGGAACCTGGAAAAACAATCCAACTTGGAATATCCAAAGGTGGAACGTTGCAGGCCGAAGTAATCACCTTGCTACGCGAGTTCCGGAATATCTTTGCCCGGGCACCATCTGATATGACTGGAGTTCCTCGACAGATCATCGAGCACAAGCTAAACGTGGATCCGAACATCAAGCCGGTACAACAAAAACAGAAAATCTTTGCTCGAAACCGCAATGATGTCATCAAAAAGAAAACACTCAAGCTTGTTCGTGCCAACATCCTCCGAGAAGTCCTCTGGCCAACATGGCTGGCCAACCCAGTCCTCGTACGGAAACCGGATAACTCCTGGCGGATGTGCTAAGATTACACTGACCTCAACAAGCATTGCCCCAAGGACTGCTACCCTTTCCCGGTCATTGATCAAATGGTTGAGGGAATCACCGGGTTTAGAACTCTCAGCTTCCTCGATGCCTACAAGGGATATCATCAGATCCTTATGGCCCAAGAAGATGCTGACAAAATGGCATACATCACCGAAATTGGAGTTTACTGCTACAATAAAATGCCGTTTGGACTAAAGAATGCTGGAGCCACTATTTATGTGGATGATGTGGTCATCAAGAGTAATCTCGATGACAAGATAGCAAAGGACATACGAGAAATCCTCACAATTCTCCGAAAAATCAACATGAAGCTCAATTCAAAGAAGTGTGCTTTCTATGTCGGTTCCGAGAAATTCCTCGGATTCCAAGTTTCCAAGGATGGCATAAGTGTGGATCCCACGAAAGTTGAAGCAATCCTCTCTATGGAACCCCAAAGACGGTTAAGGAGGTCTAAAAAACTCACCGGATCTCTAGCAGCATTGAACAGGTTTCTCTCCCGAGCTGCCGAAAGGAGCCTTCCATTCTTCAAGAAGCTACAAAAAGGGAGGAAATTTGAGTAGACTGAGGAATGCCAGCAAGCCTTTCGAAACCCGAAAGAACATCTAAAGCAACTTCCCATGCTAGCGAAACCAGAACCGGGAGAAGTTCTATATATCTACTTGGCTGCTCGAGAGACGGCCATATCAGCAGTACTAATACAGAAGAAAGACGAAAAAGAAATCCTGGTCTATTTTGTGAGCAAGGTCCTACAAGGAGCGGAATCTTGGTACACCCCCATGGAAAAGCTAATACTAAGCCTGGTGCTAGTTGCTCGATGGCTGCGTCCCTACTTTCAAAGTCATCCAATCCAAGTCCTGACTGAGCAACCTATTCAACAGGTCCTCCTTAAACCTGAAGCTTCAGGTAGAATGATGAAGTGGACCGTCGAGTTGGGAGAACATCATATCGAGTATAAGCCTAGAACGGCTATCAAAGGATAGGCATTTGCAGATTTCCTCCTTGAAATGCCCCGTACACCAGATACCATACCCGAACTGTCCACAAAATGGCAGGTGCATAAGCATACTCCCGTAGATCCTCCAGTTTGGACTCTTTACGTCAACGGTTCATCTTGTGAGTACGGGGAAGGAGCTGGCATAATCCTGGCCAAACCAACCGTACCACAGAAATCGAGGAGATAAAGGAATATGATGCAGAATATTCTTATGCCTTGAGATTTGGCTTCCCGGTCACCAACAATATAGCCAAATACGAAGCAATGATAACGAGGTTGAATATGGCTCTAAGACTGGGGATCCGGAATTTAGAAGTTTTCAGCGATTCTCAGGTAGTGGTTAACCAAATCAATGGCGACTATACCGTCTACGAGGAACATTTAAGGCCATATCTCGAGAAAGTCCTCGAGATCAGGGGTAAGTTTGACAAAGGTTCCATATCCCACATCCTCAGAACTAGCAACAAGAGAGCCGACACCTTAAGCAAGCTAGTTTCATCCAATTTTGCACATCTGAATCATAAAGTTTGGGCCGAGATACTCCCTGAACCTAGCATCCAGCTTCGAGTATCACTCACGATCGCTGAAGATGGAGACACATGGATGACACCATTTATTTAGTTTCTTGAAAACGGGACTCAACCCAGCGATAAGTTTGCAGCTCGAGCATTAAAGTTAAAAGCGGTCAATTATACCTTGAAGGACGGAATCCTCTACGAGCACGGGTATCTACTACCAATTTTGCGCTACATCGGCCCAAGACAGGCGGCCTATGTCCTCGAGGAAGTTCATGAAAGATCATGTGGTGCTCACATGGGAGCACGAGGATTGGCCAAAAAGGTCCTTCAAGCAGGTTACTTTTGGCCTACAGTTTTCAAGTACACCTATCAATTTGTGCAAAAGTGCAATAGATATCAGCGATTCTCTCCCATCATTCAATAGCCACAACATGAGATGGTAACTATCAAAAGCCCGTGGCCCTTCTACCAATAGGGCACTGACATCATCGGCCCTTTCCTAAAAGGGGTAGGAGAGCTACGCTGGGTTACCGTAGTTGTAGATTATTTTACTAAGTGGGTAGAAGCAAAACCGTTGGCCTCGATATCTGGAAGGAAGGTGTTGAATTTTTTCTAGCAAAACGTTGTTTGCCGCTTTGGAGTGCCCAAGGTAATCGTGTTGGACAACGGGACTCAATTTGACAGTGATCCTTTCAAATCGTGGTGTGCTAAAATGCAAATTGAACGCCGATTTTCTGCTGTTGATTATTCACAAGCAAACGGCCAAGCTGAATCCATAAACAGAACTATGTTGCACGGAATCAAGACCAGGTTGCAAAGCGCCAAGGGGACATGGGTCGACGAACTATCACATGTCCTGTGGGCCTATCAGACTACAGCTCATTTCTCGACAGACGAAACTCCTTACAGTTTAGTCTACGGTATGGACGATGTACTTCCAGTCGAGATTGGCCTCGCCAGTCCTTGAACCATCAATTTTGTCGAAGACACCAACAATGAAGATATTCTGACTAACCTTGACCTTTTCTAGGAGCGGCGAGATGCCGTTAAAGTCCGAGAAGCTAAGTACAAAGAGATCCTCAGAAAACACTACAATAAGCGAGTCAAGCACTGACTTTGCAGTCGGAGACCTGGTACTTAGGAAGAATGAAGCCAGTCGAGCAGAGACTCCTGGCAAGTTATCAACAAATTGGGAAGGACCCTATCGAGTCATCCAGGCTTCCCCCTCTGGCAGTTATCGCCTGCAGACAACAAATGACACAGGAACCATCCTCCCCCAATGGTGGAACATTCAGAACCTACACAGGTTCTATGTTGAAGTTTTTCCTGCTAAATTAGTTGCTCTATGTGATTTGTTGTTTTATTCCTTTATATGTAACGCTAACCCAGATCCTGGGGTAATTATTCAATAAAATTCATTGCATATTTTTCATATCTTAAATGTGTCGACACTATCTTATGACTAGTCTACGAGATGGACACCCATTTAAGGGACATCCTCAAATTGAGCTGTGTATTCAACATCCGGACACAAAAACCGAGAAATTCTCCTTGTACTTGTCGTAGATTGCAGTACTTTAACATTGGGGAACCCGTATCCGGTTTCCTCAAGAGAGCCGTGTACTTTACATCCGGCCATCAAGCGCTATATAAATTATACTCGAGTATGAATCAGCAAACGATGTCGGCAAGGCTCGAATCAAATGCATTACCCTCACACCACGTGCGGGGTTGGATAAACACACTTATTTGTCCCTAAATTTTAAGATCTTTCTCTTGGGGATTCAATCGAGATGGCTTAATAACGCCGGAGAAATCTAGCACAAGTTAGTTGATGCACTAACTTAATTTGTCCTTTAAGTCGACAATTTCCCAGTCTTGCTCGTTCAACCTGAGCTGGTACTCTTCTGCAGTCGTTCTCTCCTTAGCTTCACCGCCTTCATCCAACTCCTCGAGAATAGGAAGTGGAATCTCACAATCCGCCAATATGTTCAGGAAAACGGCGGACTGCTTCGACAAGAACTCAGCTTCTTTAGTTCTTTTCTTCAAAAGCTCTATTGTAGTAATAAAGCATTCTATCCGGACTTGTATCTGCTTTTCGACAAGTGCAAGAATGTCAAACTTCTCGAGGAACCACGGGGATACCACAATTCGCTCACGATGTTTCAACTGGGCATTCTCCTTCTTTACGCGAGCCATCTCTTCATTTACATTTGTTTCCAGAATCAGGGAGTCTTGATAATCAAGATCATACTGATGGAGGCGATGCTGATAATCCTCCTCCTTTTGTTTAAAGCATTGTACTAGGCAAGAGTGTATCTGTACATTGTACGCTTGGACGGCGTCCACGATCTCCTTCTCGAGAGTCCTTATTGCAGAGATGTTGTGGATGCTCCCCAATTTCCTCATTGCTGGCGAAACCATAGCATATATAGTAAAGTTCTTGGTTTGGTTTTCGTCAAGGATCATCAGGTGTACCTGATGAACAAAGTATGATTCCTAGCATGAGCAACGAAAATAAGTCAAGAACTTTAAAAGTCAAAAGAGTTGAATTAGGCAAACAAAATACTGTGAAAAACTTGTTCAAAGTTACTCTAACAAGTAGCGCTACAAAGGGAGGGATCTACAACCCCAATAGAAATCCTATTACAATAGAGAATATCATACAGCGCCTTGGCTCGGAAGGTTGATTGGCTGACTCTCATTGGTCTCCTCGTCCGGCATTTGAGTCTATCCAGTTTCCTTCTCGACCTCTGGCTCCTTCTCCTTGTCGCAACCCTCATCAGCTTCCTCCGCGGAATCATCACCGGAAACCAACTCGACCTCAATGAATTTACGGGGAAGGTCAGGCACTCACATTTCTTCACCAGGTTTGCCTAGTAAGACTGTAGGGGTATCACCAAGAAAAGAAGCGATCTCATCAGGAGAACCCATCTGCAAGACAGCATTGCACAGAGCATTAAAGAGGGGGAATTGCTCCGTCGAGAGATGCATCAACCCATTCTTCATTTCCTCATGCAAGGCGCGACGAGGGTCTTTTCTTATGAACTACTGCAAACAGCCAGCATTAATGGTCCTACCTGACTCCATCCACTCGAGAGCAAGAACGACTACACCATGGCCGCCTAACTGCTTGGCCACCTCGCTAATACCAAGCATTACGTTGGCCATCCCACCAGTAGGCAGCATCCTCGACCAAAAAAGCGATGAGCCATTTTTGCAAGTCTACCCTCGAGATAGGAGATTTCGTGTACTCCCTCATCTTGGCTTCAAGCTCATTGTACTTTGCCTGAACGGTGGCCACCTCCTTTTCCTTGGCAACACGCTCCAGCTGCTCCCTCTTCCATGACTCCTCCCGGATCATCTTTTCTTGCTCGAAAAGTCCTCTCTCGAGCTCCAGCCTAGCAATCTCCTCTTTCAACTTCCTCTGGCGCATAAGGAAGCTTACCATCGAGGTGCTCATCTGTTATAGTCACAAGTAGGATACCCTCATAACTTATGTCAACATCACGGGCTATAACAAATCAGGATGCAAACGATACTTACCATCTTCAGAGTATCCTCCTCAGTCATTGTCGCAGCAGTTTCTTCAAGTATGGGGCACTCGATTCTCACATCCCCAAAGTGGTATATGGCAGCCGCTGCAGTGTAAGTCGAGGACCCAGGGGAGACATCAGTGTCCTCGACTGTGTTCTTCTTCTTCTCCAAAGGAGGCTTTGGCCCCGAAATCCAATCCGGGTCCAACTCTGTAACCAGGTGGGCCTCAGAGGTTGGATTCTCAGGATTCTCCTTGGCTGTCTCGACAGCCGGAGGGATTATCTCCTGTGGGACAACTTCCTTCTCGATCAAGCCTTCCTTCCCGGCAGGAGGGACCTGCTTGCTTTTCTTCGTCTTTACTCCCGCGTCCGACGCTATGGCCAGCTTTTTCACCTTCCTCTTCTTGCCAACCTTTGTTCAGGATCCCTCATCATCTGATTTTTTAACATCAAAAATCTTGGAGTCACCAAACAACCGGTTGGTGTTTTTGCTCGATGACATAACCTAATACAACAGAAATAAATAGAGAAATTAGTACCTTTTTTATCCTCGACAGGAATTGGAGGAATGTAGTGTTAAACATCTGTCCAGTTGATATAATCCTTAAAAGCCTCCATAGCATTGATATCGGCCCTATATCTCTCGATCTTAGCCTTGTCAGACTTAGTCTAGTCGTCGACTATCACACCTAGTCCATGGGATTCACGATAATCCCAGGCCATGCAGAAGTTCTCCGGTGCCTTTACAAACAAATAGTTCGGTTTCCAAAATGGGGCACCGTCGAAGAGTTCTATTATTTGTATCGCCTTCGATTTCGGGTTTTTCTTCAAGTTGTACCAGTCCCTGAATTTGGTCGAGGGAACACAGACCTTGAAGAAATACCTCCATACAAGTAATCGAGGCTTTACTTTCACCAGTTCACAGAGTCTCGCAAATCCGAGAATAGATGATATTAAATTTGGGGTGAATCGAGCAAGTTGAATCTTATAGCACTGGACTATTGCTCCAAACAGGGAAAAAAGGGGAATCTAAGCCCTAGAAACATAAATCGATCTTAAACAATAATTTTTCACTCTGGTGGAGAGTTAGCCCTCTACAGGGGCTCGATATTCTCGATCTACTAGGAAGTTATATTTTTCAGCTACTACCTTAACTTTCAGGGTAGAATCAATGGTGGATACAAAATCGGAAACATTTTTTGCAGCCATATCTACCAAAATGTATGCAAAGCCAGCGAGATTCAAGCAAAAAGAAAGGCAGACACTAATAGCAAGAAGGTGGAAGAACTCACTTCTATCAGGTTTCAAGGTTGACCTTTTAGATTATATCCGCCTAAAATGGTGGATCTTTTCGGCCGTGGCAGATGCAGAAACCTCCGGCGACGGAACGGGATGTTCTTTCTAAACAGCGGCGAGTGAAGCGCAGGGGCAGAAGAGTTGCTTCTATGTTTTTTGATTCAGAGTTTTGAAAGTGGTGAAAAAACAAAGATGACCCCAAGCCCTCCATTATAAATAAGGAGTTCAACTCCCCATGGCTCGATAGTTTTGGGCGGAGTTCAAGGGGCCGTAATGATGATAGAGCCGCCGTTTGGGGAATGTGCTCACTTTCTGAGCGCGGTTGAATAGTTTGGGCGGGATTATGAAGCGGGTCACCTTCTCGAATCGAATCCTGGCCCGCGAACTATACCATCAGGCCTGCTTGATGCAGTATGGGCTGAGACTTGTCCAGTCAACTTGGGCCGAGTCCAGGTCAGTTTTATTTTCTGTCAAGTTTTTGTTTATTTCATATAACTAATATTTGACAGGGGCACTTGACGAGTCCATATCCACCACCTATATTGGACCGCCCCATTCACCGAGTCCAGAGTCCAACCGACTCTGTGGAGGCAATGCAAGGGTGCTAAACCTAGTGAGATTCGAACATCTTCAAAATCTATAAATAGGGATGATTACTCTATAATTGAGATACGCTATCTCTAGCACCAATAATCATATACACACTTCTCTATAACCCTATTTCTGACTTAAGAATCGGAGTGTCTACTCTCGTAAGACTCCCGAGGCCCTCTTTTGCAGGAAACCCTAAGCGGAGTTCCACTGATCAACCGGAGTCATAATTTCAGGCTTCGTCAATTTGAAAGGAAAAGAGAATCAACATCAAACCAAGTCAACGTCCTTTCCCTTATATATCTTTCTTCACAACCATATCAAGAACATGTACAGATTCTAGGATGATCACGGTGATGTTCAACATCGACATACCAGCCTCCTCCTCTTGGAAGATTCATCATGACTATGCTTTCATTTAGACCTGATCTATTGCTATTTTGAATTGTCATTTGACTACAGAATTGAAAGGGATGTCATATGACTAAGGACCTGCAAAGAGGAGTAGCTTTACTAAAAAAGCTTACATTTTCTGTCCCGCAATAATATTTCTATTTCTTTAACCTAAATGATCATAACTGTATTACTCAAATTGTGTTCGACTTTTATGTTTGGAACTATCATTATGATTTATTAGACACTGAAACAGCACTATAATTCCTAAACGAAACTGATATAAATTACCATCACCTTCACCTTAATTAGTAGGTGTCGCAACAGCATACAGGGGAATCTTTTTATGAATAGTCACACCAGGGCATTCAGTCATGTCCAGATCCAATCCCTCATCTTCTCCATTAGGCAAACTCCAATCAAACCAAACCATGAGATTTGCTAGAACAGTTTCAATGGTAGCCATAGCAAAAGAAATCCCAGGGCAACCTCTCCGGCCAGCTCCAAACGGGATCAGCTGAAAATCATGGCCTCTGAAATCTACCCCAGAATTATGCTTCAAGAATCTCTCCGGTCTAAACTCTTCCGGGTCATCATCCCACGATATGGGGTCTCTTCCGATGGCAAAAGCATTGATTATGACCATCGTCTTGGCCGGAATGTCGAATCCCATTACTTTAGTATGGTTGATCGCCTCGCGGGGAACCAACAGAGGCGTGGGAGGGTGTAATCTTAGAGTTTCTTTGATCACCGCCTTCAAATAGTTCATCTTTTCCAAGTCCTTCTCACTGATTTCAGACTTTCCATTTGTTAGTATTGTCCTAACCTCCATTTGTAGATTTTTCATGGCTGTTGGATGCCTTAACAGTTCAGTCATTGCCCATTCTAGGACTGTATAAGTTGTATCAGTTCCACCAGAAATGATATCCTAAATACAAATTATCAAGTAAGAACCAACATGACAAAATTTTACACATTGAAATGGGCAGGAAGAGCAATAATTGGTGGCAAATTCCGATATTATATGATACAAAAACAAGACATTAAAAAACCACTAAACGTTATACTTTACAAATTTATAGTAGCAATCCGGCATCACTAACTTAAGGAAAACACCAATAAGAGATGAAAATTGTATTCCAACAATTATATTCCTTATCCTAGGAACCGAAACACGGCCAAATCGCTATCCATTACTTTTCTTAAATTATTCCAAGACAATTTGGATATGTTTCATGATAATTAGACTTATTTGATAATGTCAATATAGATGGAATGTAATCCTTTGACAAAAACACACGAGCAAGTTTAAGGTTCTTACCAGGAGTAAAGCCTTAACACTGTCCCTGTCAATGGAATTCCCAGCTGAAACATTATTATTGTTCCTGTAGATTTCGAGCAGAACATCGGCGAAATCCTGCCCTGTTTTTCCATCATCAAATTTCTTATCAGCATTCCAGTGCTCTTCAAGAACTCCTTCAAAGAACTCATCTAATTTCTGCCCAATTCTCTTCACCTTACCATTCAAACCGTTGACATGATCAATCCAACCCAGCCATGGAAGAAAAGTACCAAAATCAAATCCACCCAAAACGCAAATAAACTCACTCATAATTTCCTTGAATTTTTTCCCACTTTCTCCTTCACTGTACTTCCTCCCAAATGATGATCTGCAGATAACATCATTAGTCAAAACCATGAACATATCACTGAGATTGACCAGTCCGTCTGATGCGCGGATTTTATCAATCAAAAGCTCTGTTTCTTCACTTCGGATGTGGTAATTGGATTGAACCCTTTTATTACTCAGAAGTTGCAACACACAGGTGCTCTTCAGCTGCCTCCAATACTCTCCATACGGCGCAACTGAGAGACTCTTGAGGTTGTAGAGGAGTTTACGGGCGATTTCGGACTCGGGTCGATTCGCAAAACTCAAGTCGTGGGTTTTCATGATTTCCTGAGCTGTTTCTGGCGATGAAACTACTAGAGTTTGAACAGATCCAAGTTGAAGCATCATCATGGGTCCATGTTTCTGAGCTAAGCTTCGAAGTGATCGGTGAGGGTATTTTCCGAGCAAATGCATGTGGCCAAGAACAGGGAGTTTTTTGGGAGATGGAGGAAGGTGGCTATTGATTGATTTGGGAGAAAACTTGCTGATCAGAATGTATAAAATCAGTAGGAATGGAATAAGAGTGAATAGAAACTGACCCAAAAATGGCAACTTCATTTCTTTTTTATAAATCTGAACCAATATGGTTTCCATTTTAGTCTCACAGTTTCACTATGAAAGCCTCTTCCAAAAACTAAGGTTTATTATTTTCTCAGAAACATGGTGAGTACTAATTACGTATTTTTATGGTTGAATATGTCTTTTTCTTCATTTATTTCCTTTATACCTAATAGAACATGACTATTGTAGCTCATCTCAATCAAAGTCCTTGAAGATGGTTGAAGTATTGACTTTTTTATGTTTATTCAGTGGACGTGGCGATGAAAAGGAGTGATCAGAATGATGTGGGAAAAGATGTGTGATATCCCCGATTTGTGTAAGTTATCCAAAACAAGAAAGGAAATTAAATAGGAAAAAAAAAGAATTAAAAGGACAACCTTGTTATTTTTATATATTTTGTAGTCATTTTTGCACTGCTTTTAATAATTTAACCGAGTTTCATAATCTATAGTATTATACTAAGAGAGAAATCAGAGAGAGGAAATCAAACTTCTCTTCCCGTTGACACATAGGACAAAATCCTATGTGTCATTTTCCTATAGGTTGACACTAAAAATATTTATAACAACTATACAAACAGTCCTTTGAATTTTCAGTTAATAAATTATTATCAATTCTTAATTAAAGTATATCAATTAATTGTGTGGTAAACTTTCTATTTTGCATTCCCTAAAATGAAAAAGAAAACGAGAAATTTTTAAATCTCAACATTAAATAAGATTGATTTGAAAAAGATGTGCCCATGGCTTGAATAATGGTATTAAGTCTTGATTTGATCATTAAACAATATTAATGATCATTTGAAATTTGAAAATAATAAATACAAAATCATCAGTGATTCTTTAATTCAACATTAAAGTTGATTGATTGGAAAAAAAATTTTGATGGGCTTGAGTTATGCTATTAATATTGGTTTGATCATTAAACAATATTAATATTTTTTTTGAAATTAGAAAATAATAAATACAAAATCATCATTGATTCTTTAATTCAACAATAACACTGATTGTTTTGAAAAGATTTTTCAATTGGCTTGAATATTGTCATTGCATATTGGTTTGATCATGAAACAATATTAATGTTTTTTTAAAATTCAAAAATAATTAATGAAATTGTAGATAATAATATATTTTTAGAGATATATCATCTAGAGTCTATAGTATTATACTAAGAGAGAAACCAGATAGAGAAAATCAAACTTCTCCTCCCGTTGACACATAGGACAAAATTCTATGTGTCATTTTCTTATAGGTTGCCACAAAAAATATTTACAGCAATTACACAAACAGTTCTTTGAACTTCCAGTTAATAAATTGTTATCAACTCTTAACAAAAATATATCAATTAATTGTGTGGTAAAATTTCTATTTTGCATTCCCTAAAATAAAAAGAAAACGATAAATTTTTAAAATCTCAACAGTAAATAAGATTGATTTGAAAAAGATTATCCGATTGGCTTGGATAATGATATTACGTATTGATTTGATCATTAAACAATATTAATGATTATTTGAAATTCGAAAATAATAAATACAAGATTATCAGTGATTCTTTAATTCAATATTAAAGTTGATTGATTTGAAAAGATTTTTTGATGGGCTTGAATAATATTATAGATATATAAAGTGTACTTATGAAACTCAATTGAGTTATAATCCGGGTTTATACTAGAATCTTTTCTTCTTCTTCTTCTTCTTCTTCCTCTTCCTCTTCCTCTTCCTCTCCCTCCCTCCCTCCCTCCCTCCCCCGCTCTCTCTCTCGAATTTATATTTTTCTTTTTAATAATCATTATTTTTTTTGTGTCAAAAGATTTTCACTTCTAACTTTTGCAAGTTATGGCCAAATATTTTTCTGCAACAAGGATTTTCGAATACACATCATGGTGAGTTTCTTTGCCAATCTTAAGTAACGATTTCAATGTATGATGTTTTCTTAGGGACAACATGTGAAATATATGATGATGATTCGCGAAAATGAAATATATTTAACATATATATCAATATATGGATCTCTTTATTTTTTTTCTGTAAATAAGTAGCGTATAAAAATTACTTTTATTGTAACATTATTTAATTTAGTGATTTTAAATTATATATCAATTTACTAAAATATTAAATATTTCTTTAATTATTATTATGTTCGATTTTATACATAATTTATTTATCCGGCACATCGTGCGGGTACCATCTAGTTAAATTAATAAACTAACGTAGTAATGATTAAAATTAACATAAAAAGAGGAAATTGGCCAGTTGAATGAGAAAAAATTGAGGCTGTATCCAGTATACCCGGAGGCATGGTGCTCCCCCTCCTATTTTTTGCACGAGGAGTCCTTATTGTATTTTTCATCTATCTTTTTATGATTTGCAAGTTTAGTCCCTGTGATTTTTTTTCTCTCTCCTTCAAAAAATATCTCTAATCTTTAAATAATCATATCTCATAATCCGTAAAGAATTAGAGAACGTGTTATGTATGAAAATTATAGTACTCGTTGAGATCTATTCAACAAGATCCATATCCAATATTTTTTTCCAACTTAAAAATGATCAAATTTCTTTGGGCAGAATTAAGTTGGAGATCCATTACAAACAAGTTGAATATCCAGTACAAACAAGTTGGATAATCAATAGAAAATAATTGGATAATCAGTGCAACATGTTGGATAATTAGTACAAAAAAATTTGACAATCATTTTCATAAAAGAACAAGGAAAAAAAATACTGGATAACCACCACAAAGAAGTTGGATAATCAATATGAACACATTGGATATCCAGTTTAAAAAGATGGATAACCAACTTATTTTACATTCATATTGTTGTGTTCCTTGTATCTTTTGATTCATAAAGAATTATAACACGAATTATATATGAAATTTATAGTGCTCGATAAGATCTACCCGATAAGATCAATGTTGAATATTTTTTTTGAACTTTAAATGCATTTAAATTTTACGGGCAGAAATGAAGAAATGTGTTTTTCGTTTTTCTTTGAAAAATGGTTATCCGTTGTGTTCACGTTGATTATCCAACCGGTTTGTACTAATTATCCATTATGTTCGTACTTGTTATCCAATCATATTTTTGACATTCACTCTTCAAAAAAAAAGAAAAAGAAAGAAAAAATGATTGGATAAGCATTGCAAACAATTTGGATAATCAATAGAAAATAATTGGATAATCAGTGCAACACGTTGGATAATCAGTACAAAAAAGTTTGACAATCATTTTCATAAAAGAGCAAGGGAAAAAAAATACTGGATAACCCCCACAAATAAGTTGGATAATCAATATGAACACATTGGATATCCAGTTTAAAAAGATGGATAACCAACTTATTTTACATTCATATTGTTGTGTTCCTTGTATCTTTTGATCCGTAAAGAATTATAACACGAATTATATATGAAATTTATAGTGCTCGACGAGATCCATCCGATAAGATCCATGTTGAATATTTTTTTGAACTTTAAATGCATTTGAATTTTACGGGCAGAAATGAAGAAATGTGTTTTTCGTTTTTCTTTGAAAAATGGTTATCCGTTGTGTTCCTACTGATTATCCAACCAGTTTGGACTGGTTATCCATTCTGTTCGTACTTGTTATCCAATCATATTTTTGACATTCACTCTTCAAAAAAAAAAAAAAGAAAGAAAGAAAAAATGATTGCATAAGCATTGCAAACAATTTGGATAATCAATAGAAAATAATTGGATAATCAGTGCAACACGTTGGATAATCAGTACAAAAAAGTTTGACAATCATTTTCATAAAAGAGCAAGGAAAAAAAATACTGGATAACCACCACAAATAAGTTGGATATTCAACATGAACACAGTGGATAACCAGTTTAAAAAGATGGATAACCAACTTATTTTACATTCATATTGTTGTGTTCCTTGTATCTTTTGATTCGTAAAGAATTATAACACGAATTATATATAAAATTTATAGTGCTCGACGAGATCTATTCGATAAGATCAATGTTGAATATTTTTTTTAACTTTAAATGCATTTAAATTTTACGGGCAGAAATGAAGAAATGTGTTTTTCGTTTTTCTTTGAAAAATGGTTATCCGTTGTGTTTCTACTGATTATCCAACCGGTTTGGACTGATTATCCATTCTGTTCGTACTTGTTATCCAATCATATTTTTGACATTGGATAATCAATATGAACACATTGGGTATCCAGTTTAAGAAGATGGATAACCACCTATATTCTGTCCATCAGAATTAAGTCATTTTTAAGCCCGAGAAAATATTCACTGTAGATTTCGTTGGATAGATCTCGACGAGTACTATAAATTTCATAAATAATTCGTTCACAAATTCTTCACGAATTGGGAAATATGCTCGTTGAAAGATTAGAGTTGGATATGCATACAAACCAAATGGATGGATATCCAGCACAAACAAGTTGGATAATCAGCATGAACACAGTGGATAACCAGTACAAATAATTTGGATAAGCGTGTAAATCCATTGGATAACCAGTATTAGCGCATTGGATAATCAATATGAACACATTGGATATCCAGTTTAAGAAGATAGATAACCAACTTATTTTGAATTAAGAAGTTGGATAACCAAATGGATAACCAGTTCAAACTGATTGGATAATCAGCATGAACACAATGGATAACCAATTTAGAACAAGTTGGTTATCCATCTTGTAAAATTGGATGTCCACCCCTATTCTGTCCATCAGAATTAAGTCATTTTTAAGCCCGAAAAAATATTTACTATGGATTTTGTTGGATAGATCTCGACGAGTACTATAAATTCATATATAATTCGTTCACAAATTTTTCACGGATTGGGAGATATGCTCGTTGAAAGATTAGAGATGTTTTTTTTGGAAGAGAGAAAAAAAATGACAGGTACTAAATTTACAAAATATAGAAAGATTGATAAAAAAGTACAATAAGGACTAGAAAAGCAAAAAATAGGAGGGGGCACGGTGCCCCAAGTATACTGGATAAATTGCCAAAAAATCAACCATTCTCCAGAAATTTTGTTATGCATACTATATCCAAGGAAACAGCTAGTTTTCTAAAGCGGATAGGAGAAACATTTTCTAGAATTTTTCACCATTGAGGGAGAGGAGCATACCATGGCTTAGCCAAAATTCACTGTTCCAAGAAATTAATGGTGCAACTGAAGAAAGTAGAAAGAACAAATAACCTATTTAAACTTGTAGAGTGTTCTGCAAACATAAATAGCAAGTTTATACAGAAGAGCTAGCAATCTTACAGTCAAAATTGAGCCACTATTAAACACAATTCCCAGTTGTAATTTACATTTCGTAGTTCTTAAAAGTATCGGCAAAAAAATAAATATAAAAACCCAACAGAAAACTGTTAGAAAGAAGAAAGAAAAGCAAAGGAGCAATCATTTCCGATTGCTGAATTCTACAAAATCTTCTTCACCCTTCTGATGATGTCCTTGTATGATTGGCTATTCACCGTAACATCTACTGTTCCTTCGGCTTTTCAATCTTCACATAGGGAAGAAAGCCTAATAAGTGTTTGACTCTTGGTTGCCAACCCCTCTGCTGGGCCCGGCAATACATCAAGAATTCATTAGCAAAATAGGAATTGAAACCCATGAATATATGCCATAGAGCATGACCCTGTGGATTGAAATACCAGCCTGAGATCAACCGACAGAGTAAGCGATCGAAGAGCCAGCATATACTCCCACCTATCAAAGTCCCTACGTACAGCTTTGCAAGCCTTTTTGCCAAGATGTCTTCCGTGTAAATGTAGTACTTGTACATCCGAGGAATACAAAGAAGGCACAGCAGAGCATAATGCAACCAAAAACCAGCACCGAAGCGGATAAAGGAGTGAGCAACAGCAAATACCATAGCATAAAGGAATAAGAAGGTAGGCATTGTACTGCGATAGTGCCAATCTGGAGAGTAGAGAATGTAGAGGTATAGAAGCATTTCCCACACCATAGGTGTTTCATCACCCTGCTGTTGCCTAGAAAAAAATATTAAAATCAATAACCAATTAGGGCACAAAAGAACATTGCTGTTAATTGATATAACATAACATTAGAATGCAAACCATGAGTAGAACTCACTCCACAGGTTTCATATAACAAGATATAGCTTCAGTGTTAAGAAGAGAGGCGGAAGATGTGACACGCTAACTTCTTCCAAGCTCTCCACATACGTATAAGTAACTTAAACATACACAAAACAAAGAATGGACAAACAACTCAACTTTCATTTGAAATTTCCAGCAAGTCAAAACTTCTATTAGGATCTTTGAAATACTTAAATTAACAATTGGGTGGAATTTATACAAAGCAATATATCTACAATAAAACCACTCAAAAGAGAATCATAAAAGCCCGACAACAATTATCAGGACACAAAGTTTCACCTCATTCTCAGATTTTATTACCCTGAACATAAAATCACATCATAATACAGATAAGCCTATTTCAGTTTTATATACATATTAGATAGCACAAAGCATAAAATTAGCCGAAATAGAATCAATATAAAAAACCTAACCACCAGCTGATGATGCCAACACCCAATATTTCTTTATCAAGTTTAAATTCAAACCGAGAGTTCCCAGATGCTCGACAAAGAAAGGGGAAAAAATTCCTAAGGATTAAAACTCGGTAGCATAAAGATGAATCTGTCTCCTCATTGAGGCAATTTCAAATGACTGTGTCTCTTACATTCTTCTCAGTGAAGGAGCTTCAAAATCAAGGAACTCAGAGCATGGGCATGACTATTCTACATTTCTTCACTACCAGACAAGAACAGAAAACCAAAAATAGCATAACCAAGAACATGAATAAATTGAATACAATCTACAGACGACCTCGTCACTGCAGGCTTAATAAACATTTGCAGGGTTGTTCACAAGCATACTATAAGCTCTTCTTCCACAGTTAAACCAGCTTAAAAATGCTATGGCAACTTGTGTGTCAATGTAATATTCAAGGTAGATTTTAAAAACCCAATGAGTATTCGATTTCTCATTTCTCTGGTTATAAATCCATGAAGCAATATTTCCATCAATTCCAACATATAACCTAAAATTGCATCATCTAAGAAAACAATGATATCCATGAAAGAAAAACAATACTTACATCCGTTGCAACGTGGCATGATATAACATGCTTCCAATGGCTAGTGTCATATTTGATATATGCAGGACGCTGAACCTTTTTTCAAAACGTTGCGTAAATGCAATTACAAGACCAATGAATGCCAAGACGAGAGCAGGAACATTTGAGATCGTGTTGAAAAATTCTGCTATGTAGGATGAGTAGACATAATTTGGTTCGCACCACTCATGGGTAGATGTAACAGGACCCCAAAAACTTGATATATCGGCCATAACTAAATTTATATCAGTCCAGCCAAATGTTCATGTTTCGGAACAAACAAACTGCAGATGGAAGGGGACCTGCAAGTAAATGACCAATACTATTTTAGTTAAAACTCACAAATTCAGCAAATGATATCAAAGCAGAATTCATTATATCAATCCTATAACTCCTTTATAAGCAAACAATTAACCCATCTTTATTCAATAGTTAGTGTTAATTATAAAAGTAGCAAGCCAAATCAAAAGGCATGACTCTTTACATTCAACATGTTTTGTTTTCCTCACCAAATAAACCTCCAAAAGTCCAACTATCTGAGGAGTCAAAAAGAAATCTTAACTTAAACAAGCAGATAGTTGCTGCCCATGAAACAAGATCAGATGATCTCCTGCACAAAAGTCTACCTAAACCTTCAGCCAAGTCCAAGCCATTTACTACAGCATACGCCTATCCACGGAGTTTTCAGAGTCACGACTCACTAGCCCAAGCCCTAATGCACACACAAGCCAGCAACGTATATCAAAAAGAGAAGCATAGAACAGCGACAGTAATAGTAAAACATCTGATACTCACTATCAACAAAAAAGGAGCAAAACCAAACAAAGTGGAGTATTAACCCTAAATACTTGCCTAATACTCAGATTGACTAACAGAATCAGCAAAAAAATTATCCATACCAACACAGGTCCAATGGATAAGTAACAATTCGTACCGGGAAAAAACAGCTGACATTTGAAAAGACTATTCAACCAGTATTCCAAATAATTGGGTGTGGTCCTCGCATTAATGTTTATTATTACAGGCAGAATAGCCCATCATAAAAACCCACAAACACGGCATCATAAGAACCCACAAACATTGAACAGACCCATATAGATTTAAATATATATATATATATATATATATATATTATAAAAAAAATCCCTTCTTTGTCTTGAGCTCCGGAATCACGCATCCTCATCGTCTCAATTACAACAATACAGACTGATTAAATCTTAAGACAAAAGGGAAAGCCAACCAAGAGCGGGAAGGGGATGGATTTAGAGATTTAAGCTACGTAATGGCCCGATACATGTACTAAGAGAAAATGTAGCATAAAAGGTCTTAACTTCCCAAAGAAAATTCCAAATCAAAAGAAGAGAAAACAAGAAAACGATGTGAGGATTGACAATTACCAGAAATCAATGGCCGCGTTTCACCAATCAAAATTTTCGTCACCACTATCGACCGTCGGCTACTCGTGGACTCGCTGAGAGTAGCTGCTCCGGCAGGGATTCCGTTTGTTAGAGATTGCTTTAGCGATCGATTGAGATTTGAGAATTTGATCGATGATTTTATGCTGTAGCGCCCGGCAGCCGGGACGGGAGAGAGATTCGGAGTAGAAAAAAAGGAAACGGGCTACTGCTTTCTAGGGTTTGAGGTTCGAGTCGTTTAATTTTTAAGTGGAAAAACGAATTGGGGAAAAGGAAAAAACTAAAAGGAGGAACAAAAAAAAATGCAGAGGATGGAGAATCGAACCCGAGCATTGAGGAATCACTTTACCAAAGTTACAAATAAAAAATTCTTTAATTTTATTTTATTTTTTTTGTTTTGGTGAATAAAAGAGCAAAAAGGCTAACGCCTCAGCTAGTACATAAGAGGGATTTCCTAGAATCCTCTATTTATAACATGGATATGCTACTTGTGAGAACATCGAAAAAATATAATTCCTTATCTAAATACAAAGCTTCTTTTCCAAGAGTGTCGGCACACATTATTATCTCTAAATGTGTGTTTAAAACATACATCCCATTCAAGTTGCAAAAAATTGTATATTCCCTGTAATTCTGAATCCAGAGGTACCTCTGATTGTATCTTCAAGCGTGAAACCATGTCAATGGCCACTTGAGACCACTTGAGGCCATTGAGATTTCCCTATTTCATTAATTGAACTAATTAAGAGACATTTTCTTATTTCTATTACATTGCTTTACATTATTCCAACACTTTCAAAATACCCTATATCATCGTTACTACCTTTTCTACAAAATATTTGCATTCTATAACGCATTTCAGTCTTTAGCATTCTAAATCGCTCTGTTACTTCAACTTATACCTGCCTAAAATTCCTAATGCTTCTTTCAGACCACAAATGATACACAGTTGCACTTACTGCTGCAAATAGGAGCTTCCTCTTGCCTTTTCTACCCTTTCAAATCTTCATCAATCTGTATTTTCGCACATTTAGATTCTGCAGCCTCGAGCTTGGCCCCAGTCAGTCACTGATCAGCTTTATTTACTTGAGCATAATCACAATAGAAGAAAAGATGATCCCTTCTTTCTTCTGATCCTGTGCACAGTTCACATTTGACTTCTTCTTTCAGCAGTTTCATCTTTTCCAATCTCTCTTGGGTGAGCAGCTTGTTTTTTAGAGCCAACCATAAGATAAAATTATGTTTAGGTAAACTGAATTGGTTCCATACCAGGGCTACCAAAGTTTAACATAATTCCAAATCAAGCTACAATAAAATTTAATAGTCAATTTCAATCAGTATTATTAAAAATATAATGAATGTTATAAAATTAATGTTAGACTACTGATATGAAACTAAGTATAAGAACAAGAGAGACATAGAAGAGTAAAGAGAGATAAGAGACTTGTATTCAGATGTATTTTCAAGCATAAATGAGCTCCCTATTTATACAAGAAGTAGGGGATCAAACTATGGAAAATGAAGCACCTATCATTAATGCTAAATATTGCAGAATCATATCTCCTCGATTGTGAATAGAATAATATATATTAATTGTGGACATTCAATTAAATCAAATCAAATATTTCATAACACTCCCCCTTTAAATGTCCAACTTTGTGGAATAATGTCTCATTAAAATCTTGCTAGGAAAAATCCTTTGGGATAAAACCCTAGTGAAAAAAAAAGAGTACACTTCCGAATGCGACGTTGTCTCGTTAAAAACCTTGTCAAGAAAATCTATTGGGACAAAACCTCGATTAAGAGAAAAAGAGTACATCGTGATTACTTTCCCTATTAAGTACGCCACTTGTAATCTTCTCATTACATGCCAAGTTATTGACCAAATTCATGATTGTTTAAGTCAATAATAGATAGATTACTTCGAGTTCTCATGTAGAAGGTTGTCTTCATATACCGTTATAATTTTGAATGTTTTATAATAATGGAGATGCATGACCATCATACCTTGAAGGTATCAATACACAACATCTAAGTCTTGACTAATTGATTAGATAAACCGAAACTTTATATGGTACTTCAGGACCAAATTGGTCTACATCATTAATAGAAAGTCAAGAAGAAGGATCTACATGCATATCAAGATTTTAATCAAGTGCGTTCAATGGGTGTTGAATATATAAAGGTTAAACTATTTAGACCGAGATTCTACTCAAGATCCTTCATTATCCTTACTTTAGCCAGGTAGCAACCGTTTGAACTTCTTTAGAAGTATTCATAAATATGATATAACTCTTCAGGAGTTTTATTTATATTCAGGCTATTCGAATTTCGTGATAAGTTTCGATAACATTCAGCCTTTTGAAACTCTACAAGAGTCTGTTACTAACCAAATTACAAAACATCTCAATAGTTTATCATGCGAATAGGATCATATAAGCTCAAAGAAAATCACATGCAATCACACGATAGACAAACATGATATATGTAAATACATAAACAAGTGCATAAACAGTTATATATATTATATTCAAAAATATGAACCTAAATATTTATCAAGACACATGAAGACACTAGAACTTAAGCAAGTTTTTTGAATCAATTTCTTGAGAATAAGGACCATGTCCCCTATTGAATCCTTCAGGGATTTCACAAAGACATCTTCATTAAATGTCACGTATTAAGCATCAAGTGATCACTATATTAAAGAGACGCATTTTTCATATCTTCATTTACTGCCAGATACATTAAATATTAGAAGAATTTTATTTCCATCCACCACAAGAGAATACATCTTCTCATGATTAAAATCCAGATTTTGGAAAAACTTGTGCAATAAGTTGGTTGCTCATTAACATTTTGCACAATCACCCAACAATATTTAACCGGTGTATTACTGGCCAAAATTTCTAGTCTTTCAAAGAGTGTTAATTCAACTTACACATCTTCAGGTGTGCGTATCGCATCTTTTCATTTATTGTGGCCAATAAGTTTCATGTCAGTACTTTCAACAGACTTTCATGATCCTCGTTCATTTCACTAACTGCGGTAGTATATGCAAACTTTATGTCAACATTTTATTGGTGATTGATTCCAAGTTCTTTGGTAATGAGATCTCACAATCATTAAATTTCCCAAGTATTCATATACTTCTTCTGGAAGTTAATTCACCGTAATGGAAACTATTCCAGTTCAAAATTCTTATGAATTATAATCACTCGTATTTGCCATCTTTATAGATTTAAACCTTTTTATTTATGAGGATTTTTATCATATGGAATCGATAGTTCTGCGACTTATCAAATGGACATTCAACTAACAAATAGTGGTAGGTAGTCCTTCAGGGACACATTTTCAAATTCTAAGTTTTAATAGCCTTTAATATAAGATATATTTACACATTCGGTTAGGTAAACATCTAGTTTTAAACATTATTTCTTGAAATTCAGGTTCAAATCTTAAAAGATCTGATGAGATAATGATTTTGTTCATTTTATTTATGAATCGATTGTTTTAACTTCTCCCCCTAATATTGGAATAACTAACTCGCTAAAATGATGATTAACCAATCGAGTAGTTAATAATTCTCCCTTTTGGAGTAACTAACACGTCAAAGTAATACGATCAATCTATCGAGTAGTTAATCCACCATTAATAATCTCAATCTTTCAACATTCAACATATATTTCTAACCTCTTTTGGTCCATCTCTATGTGCATTGTGCTGGAATAATTATAATATAAACTGTACATATAATATTTGAAGATGGATATGTATGGTTTCTGACCGAAAATCAATGTTAAGGAGAATATCTCTAATGACTTGTTTGGCTTTATGTATATGATTGATGCCTTTTGTGTTTCAACATATCCTCAATTGTATATGAGGTATTTAGTATGCTCTACGAGACATTTCATCCAACCCGATGGAAGAATTCAATTACACATGCTCTTCAGGAGCATATTATCAATTTTATCAATATACATGCTTAACTAGAGCATTTAATTAATGTTATAATGACACACAAAGAACTCATTATTGTCACAAAATAAATAAATGCAAAGAAAACAACGGGAAAAGAAACATCTAATATCTCTGTAATCTCTTTCAATGACAATTATGATAATGGAATTTAGAAAAACAAAAGTATCCGTGGAACTCAATTTCATATCAATCCTTGTAATCAATTTACTACAAATGACCCAGGATTACTTTAATTAGTCAAATGGCTGAAAGAGAGTAGCTATTATCAAGTAATGACCAATTGAACACCAAATTGCCTAGGATATGTTTAAATAAAAAAAAAAAATCGTCCAAACTAATGGTAATACTGCAACTTGTTTCATATTACTAGGGGTGTGTACGGTCCGGGTGGTCCAATTTTTAGCTTAAACCATAAACCAAACCATTACAACGGTTTGAAAAATTATGAATCCAAAACCACATTGTTCGTATTTAGAAACCGGACCAAACCAATTCGTAATGAACGATTTGGTTTTCACGGTTTCACGGTTTTGCTCTCACTTTGAACTTTTTTTTTCTTAGGCAAAAACTTGAGCCTTTTGTTTTGTTTTTTTTTTTTTTTGGGAAAAATAGATTTTTTTAAAATTAGCAACAACAAAAAAAACATGACTTCTTTCCACCAATTTCAATTCAACACATGCAAAAAACTAACGGTTGACAAGTTTGAATCTCTTAGAGTTCTTATTTAGTTTAGGTAGGTTTTGGTTTTATAGTTTAAGGAACATGAATTCAAATAGTTACGCTTTAACTTTCAAAAGTAAAAAAAAAGTAAAAAAAGTAAAAAAAAAAAAAAGAAGAAGAAGCCGGAAAAGCTTTTGATAAGCAACAAAAAAATTGTATAAAAAAGAAGGGGAAAAAATGCAGGAGGAAAACTTTTGAAAAAAACCCAGAAGAGGTTTAAGGGAATTGAAATTAGGAACTATGACTAAATATGATATTGAGTTAACCAAGTCTATCATGTCAAAAGTTGAGACTAATATTGCACATTTCTGTATATATAAAAATTCTAAAATATATAAAATAAGTAATATAAACGGTCAGGTCCGGTTTAGTTTACGTACTTTGAACGTAAAACCGTAAACCAAACTATTCTTTCCGATTTCTAAATTTTAAAACCGCCGGTTTCAAAATAAAGTTTTGAAACCAATCTAAAACCCAAACTACGGTCTGAGTTGATCAGTTTGACCGGTTTGAACCAATTCGTGCACACCCTTACATATTACTGACTCACATGGTTAAATTCATTATCAGAATTGGACAAAAATAGGCCATGATGTATTCATTTATAAGTTAATAGTCAATTCATGAAAGTTGGTTAAAACTGAAACAAAATATTTGATTCTTTTGATTCATTGTAGGGTAAAGCTATAATCCCCTTGTCAATTTTAGGGGACGGTCCCGTTATTTAATTAATAACTGTTAGATGAGTTTAAAACGATCACAACCATCTAATTTTTACTAAATAAATAAAATAATTAAGGAAAAATATTAAACG